GCAGGAAAACAAGGATTCAGGCAACCCAACACAATGCATGGCCAGAACAGGACAAGGAATCATGAGCACATCTCTGTGAATGAATTTGCTTACAATTCTTAACTGCTAAGGTACTGGTAATCTGTGCCACCTGCAGCTGGACAACCAGCCTCTATTCTCCTCCCTTCCCCAAATTCCTTTAAATTTAAATCTTGTAACAGTCTAGTTGTGTTTCTCAACTATGGCCACTTGAAGATGTATAGACTTCAATTCCCAGATTCCCCAGCCAGCAAAGCAAAGGTGACTGGGGAATCCTGGGAATTGAAGTCCATGCATCTTCAAGTGGCCAAGGTTGAGGAACACAGGTCTAGCTACTCTGGGCTTCTGGTGATGTGAGCCGATGCCTTTTAATAAAGTTTTTTAGTCAGGAAAGATGCTTCCAGAATTTTTGCTTTCATGGCAGTGTCGTCTCCCTCCTCCTCCTCCTCCTCCTCCTCCTCCTCCTCCTCCTCCTCTTATGCCGCCACCGCCAGGCTGTATATAATTTTGTAGTCATGATCTGCAGTAATACACAGCCCTCCCCTCAAAAAAGATGATAATGTAGAATTCCACTCTACGAATGACACAGATTCAAAACGAAAGTTGTTTTTGTATAGGGCAGGGGTAGGCAACCTTGGCTCTTTTATGACTCGTGGACTTCAACTCCCAGAATTCCTGAGCCAGCATGGCTCAGCTTGGAAACCTCTCCCTTTCCCCGCAGCATGGCTGGCTCAGGAACTCTGGGAGTTGAAGTCCACGAGTCATAAAAGAGCCAAGGTCGCCTACCCCTGGTATAGGGTGATCCTTTATTGTGGTGGAAGCAATGGAAGATACACTTTATTCCATAGTCAAAAAAAAAAACTAACACGGCTAAACTTTTGTCTATTTGGGGTGGGTGGGGTGTAATGAAAGAATCCAACGTTGTTTCAGAATTGTTAACGTCTTTTCCTTCCAACCCCTGCTAAGAGATGAGCTCGGCCTGGCTGTTCCTCTCTCTGAAGCAGGCCCAGGTGATGCTTCTGCAAGACTATTGATCAGGCTTTGAGAATTGGTGCTGAGTGGCTTTCTTCCTTTCATTAAGTCTTCTAAGAAAATGAACGCAGGGGAGGATTATTTCGTATTTCAGTGACTGAATGAAAGCCACCTTTGCATTCTCTGACAATAATGAAAGATATTAAAGAGCACTCTTTGTTCCGTGACTGTGGCTTACCTAAAGGAAGTGGGGAGGGCTGAATACTATCAAAAAGATAAAGAGTGCAATAAAAACAGGCAGAGCTTTGCTTGCACCAACATGGAGGCTGCCATGTTGACTTTTTCTGTTGACCACATCCTAAGGACACCCCCGAGGCGAGTTACACTGAGTATTTTATCTGTTTTCATTCAAAATAACCATTTTAATCTATACAACTAATTTGGAATGGTGTGTTCTTGATTTGTTGACCACGGGATCGACCGGATACACACCTGTACACATTTGCCAGTGCAGACACAACTTCCATGTCATCGTTCGGGTGCTCTTTGAAAAAAGTTGGCCTAATCGTAAAATCTTTTACTGAGAATTTCCACCTCAAATTAAAGGAAAGTGCTAAAAAAATAAATAAATCCAAACTTCCACTGGGTAAAAAGACTTGATTTATCTTTTTTTTTTCCTTTTTTTTTAATTGGTTTTTCATATCCCAACTTCAGTCCTTTGTGAGTGGCGGAGTTAATGCTGGCATCATTTACTTGCTAAAATTGGAACACACAACTGAACACATGCCACCTCAGCTCTCCTTAAGCAATCTATAATTCTGAAGGATGTGAAAGACTTTTCAAAGCTGATGAATGTCATGGGGTTCATTTAATGACATATAATTTATCTTGTCAGGCACAATGATACTTTCCTAGCTTCGTTGCTAGAAATAGTTTCAGTACGTATAAAAGCTTCACAAGCACCCTTATGTATAATTTAAACAGCTTGTGCTACGTACAGATATGCCAGTTAACACAACTGCACAAAACTGATGCGAGGATGGAGATATTTTTCCACAATAGCTGTGTTTTTTATTTTTACCCTTAATACAGAGGTGCTAATCTTCAAAACATTGAATATTTGAAGTGATGAATAGAACTTCTAATATATTCAGTAAGATCCAAACCTAATCCAGAGACTGATGGGAATGAATGAAATGCATTAACTTTTGGAAACTGCTAAAAGAGGTATGTATGAGGAAAAAAATACCCAATGGGGATTCGGAGAAACTCACACCATTTTTGTGCTGCACCAAAAAATAATTCAATTTATTGGTGAAAAATAAAAACTTTTTCGCCAATTATTTAATCCAATCTTAAGAGAAAGAACCATTCCAAACCAAACAGTGTGGATAAATTGAAGACACGGGAGTAAAATCTTCATGGATAATGGAATGCTGTTTTATCGAAAAATTCCTCCTGATTGGGGAAAAAAAAATCCTTTCTCTTCTTTAATATTTACTTCTATAAATTGTTGATTAAGTATCAGCATTCATATATTCATTTATTGGATTTACACACTCTCTCACTTTAATTCTCCTTGTTGAATTGTTTTAAATTGTTAATTAGACCTGGTTTTAATTGTTAATTATACGCAGTGCAGAGTCACATTTGTGAGACATATGGTGGCTATATAAATTTGATAAAGGGGAAGGAAGGAAGGAAGGGGAAGGGGAAGGGGAAGGGGAAGAGGAAGAGGAAGAGGAAGAGGAAGGGAAGCCATTTCTTTGGGATCTTTTTTCTCTAAATTTTCTCCCATAACAACATCCCCTTATGGGGCTGGGGTTAGCATGAGAAGGAGTAAGTGGTCAGTGAGTTTCTCTGTTGAGGGTAGACTTAAAAACAGCACCATATACATCTCTACAGTAAATATAATGGTAGTTGGATACATTGCTTATGTTGCATACTAATAAAGTATAAAAATAAATGATCTCACCTATCCATCAAAACCCTTGGTAGACGCTAGACCTGTGACTGATGTGCATGTTAAGAAACTAATTTAATTAATGTGTCACCCAGTTCTCAAATGAAGAACAAGGAATAAAATCCTGTTTATGCAGCCAGCAGCCACATTCTCAGGGATGTGTGTGGGTGGGTGCGTTTGTCTACGTGAGGGACAATTGATAATTAACAAATAAGTGTTGAAGTAAAGCATTCACGCATGTAAGAACGTATGCTGAATTCCTGTACAATAAAAGCCAAGACCTAGAAATAAAGAGTCCTAAGAGAAAAAAAGGGTTTTTTAAAAAATCAGTTTAAAAAAAAAATTATAGATAGGGAAAATAATCTTCACAGCTTTTAATACGTTACTCTGCTGTTTAAATGATTACGCACGGCCTTATTCACTTGAATAATGATATTCTCTTTTTTAAACATTAATTTGCAATCTTGAATGTCAAATCCATAAGATGGCTGCTAATATCTGAGCAAGGAATACTCCATAGTGATCAGCTGAAAAACAGCTCCATAAATTAAGTGGCAAGCCTTCCAAGGAAAGATCAAACTATAGTACAGAATTTGGATTGTTCTGGAAGCCATAACTGCAAAGGTTACATGGGAAAAAAGAGACATGTTCCTTTTTTT